TTACTGAAGAGACAGTTAGATACTGCTCTGAGGTCAGCTTTAACTATCTCATCACTTTCTAAACTACATACTGCTCTGGGGTCAGCTTTAACTTTCTAAACTACATGCTGCTCTGGGGTCAGCTTTAACTTTCTAAACTATATACTGCTCTGGGGTCAGTTTTAACTTTCTAAACTACATAATGCTCTGGGGTCAGTTTTAACTTTCTAAACTACATGCTGCTCTGGGGTCAGCTTTAACTTTCTAAACTACATACTGCTCTGGGGTCAGTTTTAACTTTTTTAAACTACATGCTGCTCTGGGGTCAGTTTTAACTTTCTAAACTACATACTGCTTTGGGGTCAGTTTTAACTTTCTAAACTACATACTGCTCTGTGGGCAGTTTTAACTTTCTAAACTACATACTGCTCTGTGGGCAGTTTTAACTTTCTAAACTACATACTGCTCTGTGGTCAGTTTTAACTTTCTAAACTGCATACTGGTCTGTGGGCAGTTTGAACTATCTAATGACCATTTTCATTACCAGAGAACCCAACACAGCCTTGGTTAACCCCATCTTCACGGCCTACTGTATATTTTCTACTTTTTAATGCTGCTTTACTTCAATTTTGAGATGTTTAAATTCTAGTATTGTTTATTTCTACTCTTCAATGTCTACTTATGTGCAATGCCTTGTTTTGTTGTTTTTGATGCTGCTGCAACACAAACATGTCCCAAATTGAAATCAATAAAGTACCTCTTATCTTAATAAGTCTAGGATTTCCTCACTTTATCTAAATAAAACACATTTATAGTTTTGTTATTTTTTGAAGAAGAAAATAATATGTATCTTTGGTGACTAGGTGTTACTGAAAATAATGAAATTCTTCCCGATTGTACGCTGTGTAACATTTGTGATGTTTTTGTTGTGTTGTGTTCAGGTCCAGCAGTTCCTCTGCAGGTTTGAGAGCATCCCCGACATGTTGGAGCTGGACCATCTCACCGTGTCCGGAGACGTGACCTTCGGGAAGAACGTCTCTCTGAAGGTCAACCACTCTCACAGACACTCAACTCTCACGACAACAGTTTACCAAAAAGAAAAAAATCATAAAAAGTCATAATAATAATTAAAAGTAATAATGCAGTATGCCAAAAGAAAAGTGAACAAAAGTCATAGAAGTATGCGATGAAAAGTCATGTTACAAAAAAATGTCATGAAATAGTATATGCTTTAACAATAGCATACAACTGTGATGTACAGTAAGATGTACAGTAAGTCCAAAAACAATTCTTCTAATGACTTTCTAGGATTATTATATTGTTTTGAATCCTATGACCTTTTTGTAATCTTACTTACTTCTTCTCTCATGAATGTTGTTCATACTCGGTACCGATCAGGCATTGATAAACTCTTATAAATAACAAAATACAAAAAAAATGAAATGGAGACAAGTAGATTTCTGACATCACAGAACAGTCGAAGCTCGCCTTTACATCAACGCATGAGTAATACAAATGTAATGACATCATATATATTAGTAAACAGTCGAAGGGGACATTTTTCAATTTTAATACTTTATATACATGTTCCTTAATTTTCAAAACAGGACAGTATTCTTTTTATAGTGAATCAGAATCAGGTTTATCACCAGGTAGGTTGACACGTACGAGGAATTTGACTTGGTGTCGTGGTGCATACATTAAAGTATAACGAAAATGTAAAAAAGAACACAGATAGCGAACTATATTAAGAACAATGTAATGCAGTAATTTACATCGAAATAGAATGCAATAAGTGCTGTATTCGTTCCAACATACCGACTATACCTCTGCCAACAATAAACCAGTCAAATAACTTCCAACCCCTTTACCTCCTTCAGGGAACCGTCATCATCATAGCCAATCACGGAGACCGGATCGATATCCCCGCCGGAGCGATGCTGGAGAACAAAATTGTTTCTGGAAACCTGCGGATCCTCGACCACTGAGGCATTCTGGGAGAAAGAAAAGCGATTTCAAACAAGCCATTTGCACCTTGAAGAGAATCTAAGAGGATTTCTTCTGCTCTAATGAACTATCACACGTTGGTTTCTTTGAATGTAAAGACAACCTGAAGGGTCAAAGGTCAACGTCTTCCTGTCTGCAGACACGGGGGAACGTCCTGTTTCTGAAAACACCGTTTGACCTCTGTGGTGTTTCTGCTGTCAATAAAAAAAGTGCAATACCTTCAACAGAGAGTCATGTGGTGTTTGTGTCTGGAGTTTAATACCAGATTTTGGATTATTTTAAAGGTTTTTTTAAGTCATCTCAGTTTGACTTTACCTTCTGGATTGATGAAAATGTACAATATCAAAATAAAAACCTCCAGAAAGAAGCTCAGATTCAGAGGGACAGACCTGAGTTTCTTTTACAGCATTAAGGTACTGTATGTGTGTATGTATACAGATGTGAACATACATTAACAAACTATCCGTATAGTATTATTATAAACCATTACTTATGCATTGATGTTTTATACAGTTATATATCGGACTACAATTTAAGTTTTTTCTTTAATATGAATTACTCTTCGGATTTATTCTTGATTTATCGTCGGTTTAAATTAAATAAAAATATGAAATGCCGTTACAATTTTCAATACAACTTTCTCATTTTTGTGTCAGTGAAGAGGCATAAAAGCCAGAAACTAAATTAAAGAAACTAAAAAAGAGAATTTAATAAGAAATATATTTCATTAATAGATTTATGACTGACTATTAAATACGTTTTGGTAGTTTGAAGAATTTGCATTTGCACATTTTTTGCATGAGAATTTTACATTTTTAATTAACTAAACTACTTGATATTGCTTTTGCTAATATTGGATTTCACTAAATCCAACTGTCTTTGTAATAAAAGGCCTTTCATAAGCCAGTCGTTTTAAACCCATTTCAAAATTATGCAACGGCAGGAAAACAAACAAAAAACTAAATATTTAAGTATGAATGGAAAACAAACTTTTCAACCATAGTAACTTTAATTTGATAAAAAATGATATATATGTATATTTATCTTAGATCAATTGTCTTCACTGTACAATGTTATTTTATATTTAATCAAAATGTAATTTGGATTTTTAAGGAAAAGTAAAGAATTTTATGTTGTTGTCAATTATCACACTTGGAAAGGTAAATCAGCACAAAACTGTAAATTCTGAGAAACTGTAAATTGTAATTTGCGAAGAAAACTCCAGTTGGTACATCTCTAATTTGAAGACAATGTTTTTGGACATTAATGACGGATAATATTCTGACACTTTATCAACAGAGCAATTATCTGACCAAGCCTTAAATGTTCAAATGTGCAGCAGAAGAAGAACAAGGCGCTCCATCATCCTGTTTTATTCACATCAGGTTTGAAGAATTCAAGACATTTTGGATTCTCAGACATGCAGCCAGACTCATCCACACACACTCACTCACTCACTCAGACACACACATACACACACACACTCTCACACTCACTCTCACACACACACTCACTCTCACACACACACACACACACCTCACACACACACTCAGACACACACACACACACACAGTGGTATGGTAGGCACACTGTAGTGGAGCTCAGATGTGTCGTCTGACAGTCAAAAGTAGGCACTTCTGAAGCAGTGAGGAGAATCCGTTTGTAGCTGCAGTCACATCACACTCGTTTGATCTTAAATCCATACGAGAGCATTTAGATGTGTTTCTGAGAACAGCTGTTCCGTTTCATAGATCTCAGGATAACAGGATGGATGTCCCTGTATTAAAGTACTTCAGCAGTTAATGCAGTGAGAATAAAGTTCTGTTCTCTCGTCATCTTCAATTATTTTAGAGCTAGACGGTAGTGTTTATATATTAGCCAGGAGACGGATGGTGATGTGACGGCAGCTGACAGGAGTTTCTTTCAGACGGAGCGCAGAACGACTGAATTAGGAGCAGGAAATCAGATCATTGGAGAAAATCATCTGAGGAGTGGAGTAAATCTGATTTCTTTATGTTTAAGCGAAGAACTGAAAAGAAAAATCGTAAGTTTTGATGAAAATCTGAAAGAAAAAAAATCACATTCTTGGAAAAACAATTAATCAAATGTTTGGAGAAAATCTGAAAAAATCTTTTTTTTTGATTTTTGGAGAATTTCTGAAAAAATCGGTTTGGATTAAATCTGACATTTTGAGAAAACCTGAAGAAAATAATCAAATGTTTGAAGAAAACCTGAATATTTTTTTCTCAAAAATCAGGCGAATACTGACCCAAAGGTCCGGATCAGGGATTGGTGAAATGGGATTCAATTTCATTATTTCTTTTGAATTTGAATACCGAAACGTTCACTCGTATTGTTAATCCTGTTAAATGTTAAGATTTGATTTACTTAGTTGCTAAAGTACGAGTTATTTTGTAGATATTAAATAACAATTCAGTAAATTCAGGTTTGTGTTATATTTCATTAGACAAGGTTAGGAAGGCAATGGGTTTGGCTTGCACTAAATCCTGACCCGGGCATATTTCAAATAAACATTTAAGTACATTTTGATATTCCACTTATTGTTGAGTTGATGTTCTGCCGTCTATATTATCTCAACGTTTATATTATGGCCTACTTTCTTCAAATGTTACATTTAAAAAAAGGCATAAGCACAGATTTCATTGATTGTGGGATGAAATCGACCGCATTATTTTGCTGCAGTAAAACGAAACCGTAATTCTTGATGTCCTGTTTTAAAAGTAGATATTCAAATCGGATTTTCTGCTCCGTTTCGAGTCGTTTGCGCTCCGGAGGAAACAAAGGGCTCCCGCTCTGATCATGCAGAGTAAATAAACCGCAGCAGGAGGAGAACAGTAGTTTGAGTCAGCAGCTGATTTTCATGCTTCATGTTCTGCAGTCTCATCGTTCAACAACACGTAGAAAAATCACCCTCGATCATCACAACCACTGAATATCACTCGGCTGAAGAAAATGCATAATTTAGTAGAAGTGTAATTAAAGAGTTAAATCCCCCAGATGAAGTGTTTTACTTTGGTAGGGACAGGAAGTCGCTGAGAGTTGTGATGCGTTCACAGTCCTGATGGTTTTTCAGGGACTTAACTCTTCAAATGCACATTTTTCAGATTCCTCCAGGTCTCACATCGATTTCCAGGTCTTGAAGTCTGCAAAATATTTCTTGAGTATAAAAGTTTAAGAATCCGTTTCCACCCGTCACCACAGCCCGTAATCATCAGATGAATGAGGTTTGGGGATAAAGAAACCTCCCGATTCCTTCAGAGAACGAGCAGAATCTGAACCCTGGATCCTCGGCTGTGGAATCTGCGAAACCAGCGGCAGAAGAAATCGTTGTGCGTTGGTGATAAAAATCCCTTCAGCTCTCCGACGTGTGGAGGGAAAAGTCCGCCGGAAGGTAGAATGCTTCCAAGACGACCGAAAAATAAATTACCCGCCTTTTCTCAAACGTTATCTACACTCTCCACTCCCACTAAAACCGTCTCTAATAATTTACTATAGCTTCTCTGTTGGATTGCACACAGTGATCAGCAGCTTTTAAAGGTGGAGCTCAGGAAGCCCCCGGTTTTGTGTTTTTTGGTCCCTCCGGGCTTCCTTCCCCCCTGAGGTCGTCTCCACTCTGTCTCCGGGTCGATGCTGGACGTCTCCGTCTCTGTCCTCCATCACCTCTTCTGCTCCCAGATCTCCACCATGTTCAGATCCAGCCGGTCCAGGCTCTTTAACACCTGAACGTTCTCCGTGTAGAACGCAACGTCCACCACCACCAACCTGCAGACAGCCGGTCACATTCAAAACGGTTAGACTCGAGTTAAAGCCATTTATTGTTACAAAGAATAATTATCCTCCTCTTTAAATCATTTTGAAAACACAACACATGCTCAAACATCTCCTGCTTCCAGATTCTCACTGTGTGGAAGTCCTCTAGCGCAGCGGTTCTCAAACTGTGGTCCGCGAAGGTACTGCAGGTGGTCCGTGGAAAAAAGCGAAATAAAATCTACTTTTTATTATCAAGGATCTTGGGGGACCACCTCATCTGTGACCTGCTCTATCGAAATCAGTCGCATTGACCCGAAGACACATTTTGAGTTGTATACACTGCTGGAAAGAGGAGACTCCTAGCTTTCTAATGATATCAGGCAGTGGGGTAGTGGTCGTTGGACGCGGGGGATCGCCGTTTATTTGAAGCCCCCACTTTTTTGAAGCATTATTATTTTTTTAATATTCTAATAAATATAAAATCATTGTCAGTGTTATCAGTTGCAATAATGACGAAAACAGCCTGTGTGTGTGAGGGGCAGCGCCGTGTGTGTGTGTGTGGGAGAGAAGCAGCGCTGTCTGCTTATTTGCAATGACGTAGCTCAAGCATTTATGCAACTTGATTTGAAGCCTAATGCAAACAAGATCCGTTTATTCGCCGTGCACGTCAGAATCAATGCAAGTCCAGATTCAATGTGGTTTGCATAAGTAGGCTATATTTTTCGTTTCATTTATTTAATAAGTTAATTTCAGGACAACTTTGGGAAAGAGCTCCCGTCCCTTCTAGCCCTCCTCCCCCGCAGCCCTGTGGGTCCTAGCAACCCCCGGGTCCGAGCGACCCTCCTCCCTCCTTCACCACCACCACCACCCGTCCCGTCCCGTCCCGTCTAGCGTAGCTCTCCGCAGCTTACCTCCGCAGCTTCCCTCCGCAGCCCTATGGGTCCGCGCGGTACTAACATGGCCGCGTTAGCCTCGGTGAGCAATGGCCGCGCGTTTCCTCACCGCTCGAGAGGTCCTAGGAAAGCTTTACGTGAATGCAGCTGCGCAGCACTCTACGGGTTCGTCCGAGGAGGAGGAGGAGGAGGAGGAGGAGGAAGAAGAAGAAAAACAAGAAGATGGACAAGATGGAGAAGAAGAAGAAGAAGAAGAAGAGCCCCGCGGGCAGGGGGTTCGGAGGACGCGCTCGAGTACAGGGACGAGGTACGGGTGTACGAGGACAAAGATCACGAGGAGGAGGTTGAGGAGGATGAGGACGAGGAGGTGTCCAAGGACGAGGAGGAGCGGGTGTCGGGAGGAGAACGGGGAGAATGGAAAGACCAGCGCGGGCACCGAGAGACGTGGGGCCGCAACCCGGAGCCCGAGGCGCAGAGTTCGGGAGACGGACGAGGGGCTAGCCACCGAGCAGGGACAGAGGAAGAAGAAGAAGAAGAAGAAGAAGGCCACCGGGGGGAAC